AATTCTTCTTAATTTCCTGTTGTCTATTCCTGTTTCAATCCTCTCTCTTTTTCCGTGTCCTTTATCTCTCAGTTGTCTCGTAAATTTGTTTTAATCTTGGGTGGGAAATCTTCTTCCTTCCTTTTCTCTCTTTAATCTATTATTTTCCTTTTATCTATGAAATTTTTGTTTTCTAGTCTGGCTTTTGGTTTTAATCAATAAAAATCTATAGATCTAAGACAATTGAAAGTTGAAAGGCGCTACCCATCAATAGATGTCTAACACCAATAATAAGGCAAGACAGACTCCCAAAATTTTGAAGACAACTGATACTCCCTACATGATGGGAAATATTGATCTGATCTATCTTAAAATTTTCATTGATGGTATTCCTACTGTCACACCAGACAATTTTTCCATTTGGAATACTCAGATCCTTCCTTATTGGGATCCACTTTCTTCAAAGGACTTCTTTGTCAAATCCAAGGGAAAAATCTCTGAATGTGATGCTCAGAATGTCAAAATGGTCCTTGCTTCAAAAATTGATGCCACGGTTCACGTAAATGCCATCACTCATGCCAACAAAAATGATGTATTACTTATTTGGAAATCTATCAACAAATATTTTGCAGCTCAACACACCGCAAACCATGCAAGATTTTGAAATCACTTTTCCTATCTTGCGTTTGACAACTCTGGTATCCTTGGATTTATCACTGACAAAAGCTACTATTGAGCAACTTCACGAGGTCAGTATAAATCAAGACCCAGGCATCTTTGAATATGAAATCATCAAGAAACATCCTAAGACTCCTGAGTTTACCGGAATTTCAACCACTGTCTCTCAGATTTCACATTCAACAACTGGGAATCAATGCTTTGACCCAATCATTTTGGTTTTGAGAGTCTGGTTTTCTTTGGATAGGACTCCGAAAAGACCCCTAATAGGCAGGTGATGTAATACATATTAAATGTGGGCAAAAATGTCAAAAACAGTTGAGACAGAATTTTTTTGAATAATTTGTCCAAAAGCTTACTCATCAAACACCCATCTAGGTTTGCAAAACCTGATGAATCTTCCAAAAATTTCAAAACCTAAATTCCCCAGGGTATTCCTTGGTTTTAGGTTGATTTAAGCTATTGCCTAGTAATGAAACAAGTGTTGATGGGTCAACAAACCTCAATCCCCATGAGGCACTGATTTATGAACTTTGCCCAAATCCAGGGTATTGCATATCCTGTCTATAAAGGGGCTTGCCGGGGTCTTCATTGAACCTCATCACGAAGTGAAGTTTAGAATTTTGGATCATTCAACTTTCAAGAATATTGGGGGACTGCAGGATGTCCTCTGGAAAAATTAGGACTTCTTTCTCGAAATAGAGAAGTATTCTTGTGGTAATACATAGTCAAGGGAATCACATGGTAAAACAAATGAGATTAGAATAAGCTGTTCTTTTGCGCGCGTGGGGGATTTTGGGTAGGAAATAAGAAATGTGCTCTGGTAAAAAGATTGTAAAAAAGAGTCATGTTTTTACAAAGAGTCTTGACGGAAGGTGACAGATGTATGGCCTCATGCTCATTATACAACGGTGGGTTTTTTCCACATATAAAGTTGCGCGATCCGACAATTGAAGAGATTATGGAGACATTGATTATGATGATGATAATGTAGAACTAGAAGAGCCACAGCTATTCAATGTGAAGCTACTGACGACCTTTTTTCTCACTGGATACGCAGGGACTTTTTTTCTATTGGACGGAAAGTGAAAGAGAGTTCTTTGGCTTCCTGCCTCCAGTTTTTTCTTGGAATGGCCAGGATGAAGCATAAACGAGTCGTTAGTCTGAGACCTTCGAAGTCCACCAATCGTTTTTTCCGGATGTTGGTATGCATGCGCTTGAGAGGCCGCTTCGAGGTACGATTTGATCAGACAGTCTTGCGAACAAAATGCAGAAACGGCCGTGGTCATTGTGGGTTGTTCCGCCTGACCCCCAATCTCGTCTTCGTTCTCATGGCTATCACGAGAAGCACTTGGGAGTCAGATGAAGACGCATTCAATGATCAAAAGAGATGAGCGAGTTTTTATGAGTTAGCATTTGAAAACAGACACGATATATTCGGTTATATGAGGCTTCACAATTGTAACATTTATTTACCTATGATGAAGAACGATCTTCGTATCGCACACAATACACCAATCAGTATCCATATTCAATCAATGAGATTGTAGGTCCAGATCTATCTGCGCGGAGAAAAGGTTCGTGCCGTGCTCTTATGCCCCGTCAGTGCAGAACTTAGTTTGATGACGGCGTGCGCGGCTATGACATGTCAAAACCAAGTGTTGGAAAGAGAAGAAAAAAACCTGTGAGCTGCCGGAGCTGATTATGATCACTGCGAAATATTTGCCAAGGCTCACAGTGAGATTAACTATCTTGAATAATTCGAAGTATTCAAAGGTCGATTGGTCTGAGGAAAGTACGGGATGAAGAAAATGTGGGTTCTCGATCAGGTTTAATAAATAGCATAGAGTGTAACTTCGAGAGGCTGAGGGAGGAGGAATATGAACGCGGGGAGTTAAAGAGCAACCTCTTGCGATATGATAGACAGATGCCTCTGGTGGTTACAGCCAAGCACAAATAGTTGACATGCCGGAGAAATATCTGGGCTTTATATTTGGTGAAAATCAACTGCGATACAATTTCAGCATCGCTATTATAATTGAAAGCCGAAATCTTGTCGAGAGGAAGCGCAGGGTAAACCCCCCACCTTTGGCGAGGAATCAACGGGTATCATCAGGAGTCGCAGCACGTCTGAACTGTGGTGGAGGTGCAAAAAATCCGGATGAGTTTATCTGCAAGTACCTCTGATGAAACGGGGCAACGAGTAGATGGAGATGGACCGGACATTAGATATTCAGTAACTTAAATGACTTGCAGTGCCATTTGCCTGCCGATTGGACTGGCTGGTACAAATTAGTATACACAATCAAAACTTCTCCACAGGTTGTGCATAAGTCTGACTTTCAATTAGAGTTTCAGGCGGGCCTCTTGCGAATCTTACGTGCATAACTTTTTCGCTATCCTGAGCGGTGCCAGCTTCTACGTCGTTTGACCTGTTCAATGATGTTATTTACATGCGTCTGTTGTTTCAGTGACCAGTCTTTCAGGTTTGGGAATGTCGAGTAGCAGCGAGCGACCTGCCTCCGATCAATGCACACCTGTGCCCAGACTGAATGGCTCGATTGCTATTTGCATTGGCCGACATAGACCAGCATCCTCTTCCCAGATGTAATATCGAACGTCCGACCAGCCATAGGGGGGACCCTCTCAAAAGAGACAAACAGGCATCAAGAGCACCCTAAAAGTTGGACGTATTTTGTAATCTGATATCTGATACGAAACCAACCCCGCTGATGATCCGCACGGAACAACTTATCAAGACGCTTTAATGAAGTAGGTTATCAACGCGCACATACTTTCTATTATTCCAAGGTAGATCTTTGGCGTCACAGTAAACAACAGGGCAAACCTTTCCGCTACCCGAACTAATACTTAAATATGTGCACACAGGGCTGTGTGTTTTGCGATAATATTGAGAAATAGGTAAAAGGACAAGCTGAGGAAAGGGGCTTCCATCAGAAGCCAAGCTGACCGGTGAGTCACATGCCTTCTACTTGGGATTCCACGAAAGGAGAGTATTTTGAATTTTGAAACTGATTGCTTTTTAGCTCGGAGGGAGGGAGGGGGGGGGGGCTGTGCTGCCGTCGTATGACAATTATCACAAAACTTTCATCAAAAATTTCTGTTGGAATATGAAGCCCGGATGTTAGTAATCATGCTTGTATTCAGTACATGCTTCTATCAAGCGACCCATCTCTAGTTCATTACTGGCTCCTCACTTAGCTTCTCTTTCCTCACTGAATAACAATCACATCGTTCTCTGGTCAAGGTCATCTCCGCGAGTTCCCAGTAAGTCCTCAGTTTCAGTCCCTGCTTCCCTCCAACAGTTTCACTTGTTCCCATCCTCCAGTACCAGGCTGAAAATAACTATTTAAGTTGCCCGTGTGAAGGTGCCTATTTATCAGTAATATAAAATTTTTGTTTGACATAATTCTTGCCATCAATTGGGAAAGCAGTGTTCTATCTGCATCAATAACCAAGTGATTGCGGAAAAAGCAGTATAGACCACTTTCGACTGCCTCAATCAGGGCTTGGAGCAACACTGAGCCGCTACACTTCGCAGCGCTATTTTGGCGCTATGCGTTAGTGTAGCGGCAGTTTTTTTTGGCTGTTTCTGGTAGCGTTAGCGGGGCTTGACCGCTGCTACAATGTAGCTGAAGCATAGCGGAAAAACCTGGCCAAGGCTTCCGGGTAGCGTTAGCAAGAAAAAAAATCCACTACACCAATGGTTAGCATAGCAGATGGTCCGCTAAAATTATTTTGGCCCGCCGGTAGGGTAGCGGAACCCCGCTACGCTCAGCTACACTACAGCCTTAGCGCTTGTGATCTACAGGTGTGTGTCACCTTTGCCCCCGCCAATCTGACAAGGCTGTGTTAGCGTAGACAAAAGCTACGCTAACAGTTAGCGTAGCGTTTTTACCCACTACGCTAACACTATCCCAAATATCAGG